CCCCAAAACCCCAAAACCCCATCTATGGAGAAATTTGCGTTTTAAGTAAACTCAAAATAATTTATTTAAGGTTTACCTCTTTTAATAAATGAGTTCATTAGAAGGATCAGATTAAGATTAAAGTATGATATCTTAATAAGAATAGGAGGAGGATCAGAATCAGTTTGGTGAAGAGCATGACGAAGAAGTTGTAAGTGAATAAGACTCAATCGAATCAATGGAGGATGAAGAAAAAGTAAAGTCGAGAAAAATTAAAAAGGAGCGAGTATCCAAAGAATCAGATGATGACGAGGATGAAAATAGTTAAGTTCCAAAAAAGAGTTTAGCTGTGAACGACACAGAAGAGTCTAGAGTTTCAAATGAAAATAGAAGATAGACTAGAAGATCCAAATATGCTGAAATGCAGAATGAAGACATTGAAATGAGAAGTTCTAGTTCAAACTCAACTGTCAAGAAGGGCTCTCAAAGTAAAAAGCATAAAAAGAAAAAAGATAAGAAAAAGAAGAAAAAAAAGGACAAGAAGAAGAAAGACAAAAAGAAGAAGAAAAAGAAGAAGAAGAGAGGTAATTCAAGCAGTTCAGATTCAAGCAATAGTAGTGAAGACTCTGATGAAGATTGGAAATTTGATGATAAAGGAGTTGATTATGGCAGCCCTGAACGTATTTCAGATGGATCTTCAGTATGGGATGGTAGGTCTTAAGAACTTTATGATTCAGACAACCCTGAGTACCCTTTAAATCTCTATCATATTGAATCAAAGCCAAGAATACTTGAAATTGAGGATTTTAACTAAGAAGGAGATCCAGTGAGGTTACTTCTTGACTGTATGACGATAGTAGATGAAGATAAAAACTAATAAAAAAAAGATAAATTGACATATACTGAGAAAAAGAAAGAAATGGAACTGAAACTTAATTCAGTTGATCATAGAGAATATTAGAATGTTAAGAAGCATGGTAGAGCTAAATCATTGATTTTGCATAATATGATAAGCCTCGATTTTGTGAAAGGAGTCTCAAAAAATCTAACTTGTCCCATATGCTAAGAAATGGTTTCAAATCCTGTAATTTATAAATCGTGCTTGCATCGATTCTGCAACAACTGT